TAATTATAAAATTGGTCAACACATCCTTGAGGAAGTTTCCATTATCAGAGACCTTGGTGTTTCTTTGGACACAGATCTTTTCTTCACTAATCATTTAAACAATGCAGTAAATAAAGCTTTTCAAATGCTGGGTGTTATCAGAAGGACTACACAAGATTTCACCAATGTTACCACCTTAAAGACTTTATATTGTGCCCTAGTGCGCCCTCATCTAGAATATGCCTCTTGCGTCTGGTCCCCCCTTTTATGTTGTACATCGAGATTCTGTACAGCTCGTTGAATACAAATTTTTGAAACAAATTGCCTTTAAACTGAATATTTTGAATAATTATAATGATTCACAACTACTTTCTATGTTGAATATGGCCTCAATAACTATGCGTCACAAGAGGAGAGATCTTACAACCTTCTATAATATCCTACATGGGGAGGCTTCGACTCCCGAAATTCTTCACAAAATTAGCATTCATGTCCCTCCTAGAACCACCAGGTCGAATGACAGTTTTCATATTCCGATTCATCGAACTAATAACGGACGCAATACTTTTATTTCCCAAACAGCTAGACTTGCAAATGAGCACCATGAGGTTGACCTTTTTGCCCCCTTGAGCATTTTCATGGGTCAAGTTCGTCATACTTTTAGGTAGTTAGAAAACTTTTATCATAAATTGCTGTTCCCACCTCTTATAACTTTACTGTACCTACTAATTATTATTTGATTTTCACCTAAATCTACTAGTCCAATCTACCTATCTAGCCTTACTCATTTCTGATCAAGTTGCAGGGCTGTTTGTTGTTGTTATTATTAATATTATATAATTTCAAGAGTGATTAACTTTATTTTTGTTACATTTGTTATGTAATTCTATATTGTTGAATTGAATGTTGAGCATTTTGTAAGTGGGCTCGGCCCGTTGATAAATAAATAAATAAATAAACAATGTAATATTGTAGAAAAACCACTCTGTGGATTTGTTTTTTGATATCGGAATCACTAATGAAGTCACTATTCTTGCATCGCTTACAGTTTCCCGATAGGATTCTAAGGAAATTTTTAAAATTTTTCAAGAAATCTGCTTGTGAGCTTGTTTTAAATGTTGAAGCCAACAATACAGTCACTGTTATTGTATCACCTATGGTTTCCAAATATGTAGAATTCTATAGAAGTTTCTTTTTTAATTGGATCACCATAGAATTTTGAAGATTATTCCACTCCTGTGTTAAAAATCCCATAAGACAAGTGACGATTTTCAGAATTACAGCGAAAATTCTCTTTTCCATTTGATTAACTAGAGAGAATTACAGCGATAATTCTCCCATGTTATTCTATACATGGTTGTCATGCTAATTTTTGATACAAACAAACGGTTCCTGATAGCAACCATTTATTTGTATTGATTGTTAAGATGTTCAAATCATTTAATACATATTTATTTCCATATTTTTTGCATTCTCAAACGTGAAATAATCCTCTAAATACCACTTGAGCTTTAAAATGAACCAGATAATTTTTCACTCATGCGTGTTTTCTCTGCAAATTTATAGAAAACACGCAATCGTGAAAAATTATCGGTAATTTTGAAGCTCTCGTGGTATTATCCCCGAAAATCCTCGAGAAAAACCGCTCGTTTAGCTGGTTTATCGATGTCAAAGTCAGTAATTAAGTTACTAATCTTGTATCGAGTGTTGTATTACTTACCAGTTTCCAAATAGAATTATATAGAAGTTTATAGAATTTTCCAGAAAATCCGTTTGTGAGCTTAGTTCAATGTTTTAAGATGTCAAATCCGGTAATAAAGTCACTTTTCATTTCAATAACAGTTCTCTGATTGTTCCCCCACTAATTAACTGAATCGAATAGTAAGAGGCACGTCCCGACGTAAATAATTCATTTTCTAAAAATTCTCGCCGGGTTGTCGATGGATTTTCCTAACAATAATAAAGGAAATATTGATGAGGAATTATCAGAAATTACAGAGAAATTATGTTAAATATAATGGAATTACCGGAAATATAAAGGAATTAAAGCCATTATGTGAATTGCAGAATTCGCTTCGCTCATTCTGCAAATTTTTACATGCGCACATGCACATTAACACTTATATCATAAATAACTATTAGAATTTTTGGTGTACAAAATTAGGTAGATGGATTTTCCCGAGGAGAAAATTACCTCGAAAATTACCTTGGAATTTCGATTACGATTACAAACTGATAGAATTGTTTAGAGTTATCAGTATGTTTTAGCATTTTTTAGTAATTTCTAGAAATTTCTAGAATTATTTGGTATTTTTTAGAATTGAATTAAAATTTTTTAGAAATAATTTAGAACTTTTATCTATTGCGCATGATCAAGAGCCTGCCCAATCTTTAGGAATTTTTGGAATTTTTTAGAATTTTTAAAGTTTTTTTGGGGACTATAATATGAAAATTAGCAGTTTTCAGATTTTTTAGAATTTTTGGTAGGTGGATTCTCCCTCAGGTTTATGCAAAAAGCAGTTTTTAAAAAAAAATTGTAAACATTTGGCGACCATGGACGTCGTGACATATAACATATTGTATTTGTAGATGTAATGTTACATAACGTTTATAGAAGTCACAGAGAATTTCCGAAACGCGCGTCAAATATTTTCCGTACATAACCTCAATACTTATTCTAGAATACCCATCAACAAATATATGAAATAATACACTCCTTTGGGGTTTTTTGAATCCCCTGTACACAAGAAATTGTTATATAAAAACTATTTACTTTTTATATGTAAATATCCGTATACATCTTATTTATTCAATTCACCAGTTTGTTGAACATGTTGTGACACAACAAAAATACAACAATGTCTGACTAATAGCAACCGAACGTCTACTGACGTCGTGTCGACCAGACATGCGTTACCCACCCCCTTCTTCCAAACGTCCAAAATGCGGTGACAGTAACCCAGGGTGTCAATTTGAAAACTTCCCACCCCTATTATCTTGGAGCAGAAAATTTTTCGAAAAAATGGAACACGTCAACTATAGTTTGAAGGGGGATGAGTTTTTATGCAAAATTCACCTTCCCTCTTTCAACCCCCCAGCCCCCAGAGCCACCCCCTAGAAAATTTTAAATTGGAAGGGGGGTCAAGTGATACATCATTTTGGATTTTAATCCCTAAGTTCAACTGTTTTGAAAATATTGACTTTTTTGCAACTTTGACAAGCTGTAAAACCTAAACGGTTAATTTTAAAGGAAAACCGATCTTACATTCAGCAACATCGAATTTAATCCACGATCAAAAATTCCGATTGAAAATTTAATCTCCGGTCAAATTCAAAAATGGTGTCAAATGATAGTTTATGAAAATCTAAGATAAGAATGTAATATCGGTTTTGCTCTAAAATTAACCGTTTAGGTTTTACAGCCTGTCAAACTAGCAAAAAAGTTCATTTTCAACTGTCAATATTTCCAAAACAGTTGAACTTAGGGACTAAAATTCAGTACTAAAATGTATGGAATTAAAAACGATGCAAAATGATGTATCACTCGACCCCCCTTCTCATTTAAAATTTTCTAGGAGGTGGCTTTGGGGGCTGGGGGGTTGAAAGAGGGAAGGTGAATTTTGCATAAAAACTCATCCCCCTTGAAATTATAGTTGACGTGTTTCAGGGATTTTTTCGAAAAATTTTCTGCTTCGAGATAATAGGGGTGGGAAGTTTTCAAATTGACACCCTGTATATTTCTCTGTGCGTGTAATTATAGAATAAGTTTGTTCGTGTAGTATTGAGAGCCGACGTCTATCGTCACATAACATCGATGAAAATTAAACGTCTATAGACGTTCTGTCCATCAACGTGTTAATAATAAATGAAACTTCAACTATTACCGCCAAATGGTCAGATATATTGAACTCATATACGGATATGCTTCTGCATTAGATATATTTATAAAAATATTATCCAAGCATGCATTCCCGCGAATGGGTGAAAAGATTGTTCTGGAAAAGCCACAAGTCTCAACTAGATCTATTATTTGTATAGTTTCATGATCACTTGATAAGAAATTTATATTAAAATCTCCACAGATGATGATTGAAAATTTTGAACTACTTGAAGATTGTGAAGAGTTTTCAAACTTAGTCATAGGCTCATCGAAATTCTCTAAAGGTGGTCTGTAATTAATAATAATTTGAGTTCATCTGATCGGACAGCACACATCTTACAGTACATTTCAGCCGAAGTACTACAGACATCGTCCCTAGGAACAAATTTATCCAATCTCTTATGAAAATTGGCACTCAATTATGCATGGTGATAATTTCTACAAAAACAAGAAAGACAACTGCAACGTTGCAACCTAAGTACCAGAATTTTATCCTGGTACAACCAGTGCTCACTAACACAGACTATGGCAAAAGCACTAGAGTGTGTCGATTTTAATCTGATACTCGAAAGGAATGTAAGCTGGTAACACCCTACATTGTCATTAGAACGCCAATGGACACCTGACGACACACTCGTTTTTGCCATGTGAAACACCTCCTCGCTCCTCATACGGAAAGTGTCAGATAAAAATTGACAAACAATACTAGGTATATCAATGTAACAAAAATTGAGCTACTTTTGGTAAAATAACGCAAACTATTGAAATTTATAATTTGTTTGATTACCTAAACCTAAAATAGTATATTTGGAATCAGGTTTGAAAGGCTAATCTAATAGGTCAATAATCTATGGGGTGTTCTATTTAAAAAAGTTTAACTTTGCTTTGCCACATTTTTGTGACACACCCTGTATACTTGTAACTAACTTCATTGAAAACTTCCTGATATCACCTACAACTCTTGACATTTCTTGGTATCTTTTCTCACAGGTGAGATAGGTGTGGGTGCAAAATATAGCCAATCACCCGGTACTTATTGTTTTTTCACAGGTATATTTCAAACTTAATCAAATGACCTTTACTTTCTTGGTTTTGTTAAATGGCTTGAACAACTAACAATAATAAATTAATTTTGTTACAGAATGGTACGCCGCTGTGGGAGGACCTGATTGCGAAAGCCACAAAGCTGCACTCCTCATTAAAGTAAGCAAGAAAAAATACTATGATGATTTCAAAATAACAAAACAAACTTGAATATAAGAGTTTAATTTAATTTGTTTTATTTTTTAGAGCTACAATTTTGGCAGTTACCGCATACTTGGAGGCGTTTCAAAAAATTGCCGATTCCGCTACTAACACAAGAGGTAAGTGACATTCTTCAATAAATGCTTTTTGTTCTCGGGGTAAGAAAAAAAACTTCTTCATAAAATAGAATATATGTAAATTTACTCTTAAATATATAGTTTAATTAAATTCCTATTTTCATTGCCCTGTTGAAATGATTGATTCTTCTTTGAACGCCATAAATAATCCAAAAAATATTCCATATTTCACATGAAACTTCTTATCATCCTATTTTTTGGAAATAATGGCAGCGTCACAGTGACTCTTTTTGTTTTGGCATAATAGGTGAATTTTTTTTAAGGTATTCCCTTACTGTTCTGTTTCAAATGCCATTTAGAATTGTCATAAGTCTGCCCTATCAATACAGACAATTCAGCCAAGAAATTAGCCTCCTTGACCCTTTTGGTAGCACAGAGGTTTTAACGTCGACACACTGTATATAGGACGCAAATAGCTTTGCTTCCTTTTATCTTCAAATTAAGTTACCACAATAGCGATAAATTGCGAAGATAAGACTCTCTCGGATATGCACTGATTCGCTTGAATCTATCCTCTGCTAAGACCAGTTTATAAAGTTTTAATAAGATTAGATAGGATTTGAATCAGTACTATTTTATAGCTAATAAATTTAAATGGATAAGCTGTGATAAATAATACATTTAGATTCAATTATTTTATAGACATTTAGATAAGATTTTTAGAAGCAGTTTTGTTATCGAGTTTCTATAAAACAAATTATAGGCGATGACGATAAAAGACGATTATTATATTTCAATATTCATTACTCCTGAGATTATTGCCCCCAACAAATCAAATTGAATATTATGCAAACTGATTAATCATAAATAATAATTAAGGGTCAATAGGTTTCAGATCTGGTCTAAGATTTGGCTAAAAGGATGACATCTTAATAAATTCCAATTTTATCTATCTCGGATATATTCTTGCTATCAAGAGATCTTTTTGCGTGCATCCTTTTTTTGAACATGTCACATGGCAAATAAATATTGAATTAATATTAATACATAATTGGTAAAAATTAAATTTTACAGAAACCAGGTAGGTAGGGATCATTTGGGTTTTATTTTAAATTATTGCATTAACCTAGGTAAGTTATTTCATCATCATCGTCATCATTATATTTAATATAAGCCCATACCTACAGCCTTTACTATTTAAGATAGAAAAAAAAATTAGGTATATACAAAACTTGAAAGTTCACTCTAACCTGTATATGAAAAATTACTATTCTCTCAATGCTTGTGAAAAAAATGTTTATCTCTCTTCGTCTTTGTATACTGTTCTTTTGGCATATTACGTCTGCAGTTACGGAGGGGGTGAATGCACTCCAAATAACCCGGATACTGTGGGACATCTCGCCCCCACAGGGCCACGAGATGTGGGTCAATCGATTCCGGACGTCGAGTTCGTAGCCTTAGAAGGATAAATAGTATTTTGAATAACACACAATGTGAAGCCTTCTTTTCACAGTCATATTTTCCAAGTTTGATATAAGTAATGGTCATAAGTATAAACAGACACTGCTATTTTTCAAAAACATATTGAGTTATGAGTATGTACATACAGGGTGATCTATTATAAATGTCATCCCTTCGACCTTTTTTGTTTAGACATTTTAGAAAAACGTATCCAAAATAAAAGTTTTATGGTTGAAATATATTTTTTTTTTTAACTCATTTTCGCATATACAAGGTGTTTCAGAAAAGCTGATTGTGGTCCAACTTCTTATTTCAAACTAGATTCCCCCTCTGAAATTTTATAAATCGGGATGAGATTCTTTCCTCAGTATATAAAAATAATTAGCTTGTTTATTATGGTTTTTTATTAAATGATAATACATTTCACATTTAATACATAAAAAACCCAATCTTCTCACAGGTAAATATCTTTTTGGTAAATACCCGGTATTTACAGGGTATTTATGATTTTACCCATCGGGTAAATACCCACTGCCCATCACTTATCTTAACAGTTTTTTTCTAATTAACTTTTAATATTAGGGAAAATGGAAAAAGGAGTGTTCAGTGTTGTGTCGTCGGCTCTGTTCAGTATCGTGCAACCGCGGCTCACCTTCGATTGGAACTCATTCCTAATCGTGGAGCCCATTCCTAACCGTCCTCGGTCCCCAATATGACAGAAGAAAAAAAAAGAAGAGAAGTTTTTGATATATGAAATTATTATTTACGAATTTACGATTGTTATTATTGACACACACACATGCTTGACATGTTTTGTAAGTTTCTATAACTTTGTACAATTATTTAAATAAATAATTGCTTGAAACGTGAAATTCAGATAATTTAAACTCTACGAACAACATATTGGTCCTTCGAAACCGGATACATCAGCTCAACATCGAAGAAAATCACATAACCACACTTCGGGCCAAGGCCCTAGAACATAGCAAGTGAAGGCAACTTCAAGCTTGGACCTTGGAAGAGGCCTACAACTGAAAAAACTCCCTTTTGAGGCTGAACAACTTCTTTGACGGCGGACGATCATCAGGTCAGTGCGTTCCTTTCTCATTACCTCTCCCATAATCCCAACCATAATTTCCCTAACCTACAAGCCTTCATTTAGTTATTTTTCATCTTTTATTTTAAAACAGCACTTCGCTTAACTTAGACACGTTTTTCTTTGATGGTTACTTATATTGATTTCACATTTGTTTACTACTTTCACATAACCTTACGATTTTCTTGATTTACTGATCATACACTCCCTTGCCATACCTATTGGTTTTTCTTGCTGTTTGACATGGCAGAGGAGGCTAAAAACAAGCGTAAGGCCTTAAAAAGTGCCCTCACTCGATTTGAAAACTATTTTAACACTCTGAAAATAACCTATCAAGTAACAAATATAACAACTATTGATTTAGTGCAGTTAGATGCACGTTTGCAAAAACTACATTCTTCTTTAGAGGAATTTAACACTGTTCAATTAATTATTGAAGCCTCAGATCCCGACGACCAAGAACATGAAGACTTACATTCCGTAGAAAGGGAAAATTTTGAAAATAAATTTTATCGACTCGTCTCTGAGGCTCGAAAATTCTTGATTGATCAAACACCTAGAGAGCCAACGACGAATGTGGGAAATACAAGCAACTCATCACCTAATCAGTCAAATAATGATGATGATTTAATCAATATTAAACTGCCACAAATTAATTTGCCCACCTTCGACGGATCCTATGATCAATGGTTTTTCTTCAGGGACACTTTTAATTCTTTAATACACAATAATAGTAAGCTTACACCTGTCAGAAAGTTCCACTACCTACGCCTATCTTTAAAAGGCATAGCTGCTGAGACAGTTGCTTCTCTAGAAATCTCTGACAGCAATTACAATATTGCTTGGAACATTTTGAATGATAGGTTTGAAAATAAAAACATTTTGGTAAACAATCATGTAAGTGCTATTTTTAATTTGCCAGCTATGGTACGTGAATCTCACAAGGGGGTCAGAGAATTACTTGACGGTATTCAAAAACACATTGGTGCCTTGAAAGTCTTAAAACTGCCAACAGAACACTGGGATGTTTTAATTTGTCACATTGTAACATCAAAATTTGACAATGTCACTAGGCGGGCTTGGGAATCTGAAGTTGTTTCAGACAACCTACCCACCTACAAAGACCTTATTGATTTTTTGAAGGATAAATGTCGTATGTTGGAGTCTGTTGAATCCAGCATGCCAAAAGGTGCCAAACAAGCAAAAAACTCACTTCCATTTCAAAACAAGGGCACTACTCATTCGTTTGTGACAACCGAGAATAGAAAATGTTCCCTCTGTAAAAAGGAGCACCTTATTTACGCTTGTCCTAAGTTTCTTCAACTTTCAGCTGTTGACAGACTAAATGTTGCCAAGCAAAACAGACTATGTGTAAATTGTTTATCTTCGGGTCATTCCACAAAACAATGCCGATCTTCTGGTTGTAGAAAATGTGGACGGATCCATCACACCCTTTTACATTTTAATAAACCTGACACTACAAACTTTCATGCTGACTCTGCTGATTCCTTTAACGCCAACCATGATGAAGATCAATTACAAAACCCACCTACAACTTCCCTGTCCACACAAACATCTATACAAGCCCCCTGTAGTCTAGTTGTCAATCAGCACTGTACCACAAACATCATCTTACTTTCCACAGCTTTGATTAAAGTCTTTGATGCTACAGGCAACCCTGTAGCATGTAGAGTGCTTTTGGATAGTGGAAGCCAATCCAACTTCATTTCCCAAAGATTATGTAACTTGTTAAAATTACCTCTAGAAAAAATACAATATTCTGTGACAGGTATCAGTCAGAAAACTGAAACTATATCTTCTAGAGCCGTGGTCAGGATTCAATCTAACTATTCCCACTTTGACATAAAATTATCTTGCTTAATACTGCCAGCCATTACTGGAAACGTTCCTGCTGTGTCCTTCAACTACACTTCACTAAAAATTCCTGAAAATATTGTATTAGCTGATCCATACTTCAATTCTTCTAAACCTATTGACCTGCTTATTGGGGCAGATACTTTCTGGGAACTGATTAACATTGGACAAATCAAGCTAGGAAAGGGTCTTCCCATACTACAAAAAACACTGTTCGGATGGATCATTTCAGGGCCGATGCAAATCAAGTCAGATCCTCATTCACATTCGCAATGTCTTTATTCTACTAGTATAGATAACCAACTGAATAAGTTTTGGGAATTGGAGGAATACTCTAAAACAAAATTTCTTTCACCTGAAGAGAACCTATGCGAAGAACATTTTTCTCAGCACACGGTAAGAGCTTCTGATGGTAGGTTCGTGGTACGTCTTCCTCTCAAAATTCCTGTTGACCGCCTTGGTGATTCAAAGGCAATTGCTCTGAAGCGTTTTTTGACCCTAGAAAGGAAGCTAGATGGAAATTCTGATCTTAAAAATTCTTATCAAAAATTCATTTCAGAATATGAAACACTTGGTCATATGTACTTGTCTAAGAATCAAAATGATGATT